CCTTCCCTTCCCTTCCCTTCCCTTCCCTTCCCTTCCCTTCCCTTCCCTTCCCTTCCCTTCCCTTCCCTTCCCAGTTACCGCTTTCTCTTTCTCCATCCTCTTTCTTCTTCATTTTTGCTATTTCTCCTGGAAGAAGGGAAAACAAGAGTGAGTGTACCCGTATATGTAAGAGTGGTTTGAATATATCAGAGCATAGCTGATATATGCAAATGTAGATCAGGTAATCTTGTAAATCTGGTATCTTATTTTACAGCCAATTAATTTTAATTAGTTACTTAATTACTTCTTTGCAGTGTGGTTTCTCCCAGGTATATATGCACCCATACATATACATATATACATACATCAGTGTGTTGCATGCATATATTTACTGTAGAGGGTGTGGAATCCTCAGGATTGGTTTCAACTGGATTTGACATCCTAGATTAACAAAATGGAGAAAGATATTATGTAGGAATTTTATTTTTTTTTCTATTTACTTTTTTGAAAGTGTTATTTTAAGTTCAGGGCTCTCCTCCTTTTAGGTAAATACAGTATTCTCTATAGAAAAAAAGTATAACATTATTGAATATTCCTCTAGTTCAGTATTTCTCAACCTCGGCAACCCGAAGACGCGTGGACCTCAACTTCCAGAATTCCCCATGCTGGCTGGGGAATTCTGGGAGTTGAAGTCCACACGACCCCAAGCCGCCAAGGCCGAGAAACACCGCTCCAGTTCAATTTCAGTTTATTACAGTCTTGGACCAGTACAAGAAGTTTGTTCATAAGTGACTTGTGATCACTTATAAAACTGAGAAATCTTTAGATAACATCTAATGCATATTTAGAATACATATATAAAACAACCTGGCACAAAGCCATAGGTAGAATTCAGACGAAGCACTCTATAGTAGAGGTAGTAGTATCTGAAATTTACCTACAATATAACAACATCTAAAATTAAAAATTTGATGACATCTAAAATGTAATCATAATATCTAAAATTAAATGGAATTTAATAATATCTAGACTTATATAAAATACATCTACATAGCAGGAGCTTGCCCTATTAAGGACTAGCAGATCTAATGATAGAATTTAATACGGTGACCAATTAGCATTCTCTGTTAGCAAATCAAAACTTGGAATGAAAACAACTGAAATTTAAGCTTGTTCAACTTTTTTTTTATAATTCCAGTGATTTGTTTTTTAAGTGATTGCAAGGTTCATAGTAAATTAATAATGTGCCCATCTGTTCTCTTCATATATTACTTATGGAGAAATGTACTGATACATAATTAGTTATATCTGTTCTATCCTTATAACTAAGCCAGAGCTGTCTTCAGTATTTGTAAGCCTTTCATTTATCCATATTTACTACCACTTCCTCCTTCCCAAGTCCTGCTATGCTGCCTCATTGTGGGGATGGGAGTTCCTGGGAGGGATGAGTGAAGACTGCGGAGAATATACACCAAGAGTACATACTCCCAGCACGGGCACTCAAGATATGAAGGTCATGCCAGCTGACCAATTAAAGCAAGCAGGAACCTATATAAGGCAGCAGCAATATAGGAAGATGCTGAATGATCACTTTAATGACAATGGCAAGGCATTATTTCATACTGTGCAGGAAAGGTAAACCACTTTTATATTTTACTGAGAAAATAACATGGATAAACAGTATAAAATGATTGACAATATAGTGCCAGATGATAGGCCCATCAGGCTGGATGGGACTCAACATGCTATTGAGGAAGACCTGAGGATCTTTTGAGGTAGTAATGGTGTTTATGACATGGCTAGATTAAAGCTTTCTGGACATTTAGTTGCTGATGTTGCCATGCAGGAAAAGAAAATCTGAAGCTGCAAAGACAAAATTACAGTGGAACATGGAAAGTATGAACATGGGAAAACTCAGCACAGTAAAAGCAAAATGAGTTTACATATTGACATTTTAAGCATCAGCAGATTGAAATGGACTGGAACTGAACACTTTCAGTCAAAAAATCAAACTAATGACAATGTGTACAGCAACCAGCCTTAAAATTGACAGTGAAGTGGGGGATTTGATTATGTGCCATGAAGTTGATGTCGACTCTTAGGGATGACATAGATTTTCTCCAGGAGGATTGGTCCCAAACCTGGTCCTTCAAGTTTTCCTGGTGACACTCTACGAAAGCAAAAGTTGACTTTGAAGAAGCAAGATAGAAAGAATATTGATGCTTTTGAACTTTGATGTTGGAGAAGACTTCAGAGAATACCGTGGATAGCCAAGAAAACAAACAAATGGATCATTGAACAAATCAATCTAAAGTTCTCAGACAAGGAGGCTCAAATTATCATATTTTGGTTACATTATGCAAAGGCCAAACTCCCTTGACAATTTTACAATGCTGGAAAAGGTGGAAGGAAAGGGAAGAATGATAATCAGCAAGGAGGATGGACTCGATTGCAGTGGCAATTGGTGCATCACTGGGAGACCGGAAGGGCCAGGTTGAAGACAGATCATTCTGGAGAAGGTCTGTCTATGTGATCTCGGAGAATCAGTACCATCTTGATAGCATGTAATCGATGATTAATCAATCAGTCAGTCAGTCCCACTTCTCAGATACAGGAATTGTCCACTGGACATTCCATTCGTTGCTCGGAACTGTTCCCAAATATCTTGATTCCTGTGTTCAATCTTAGCTTCAGCTGCTGTAGATTAAACCACAGCAAATGGATATCAAAGATGCTACGATAAGAAGCGTTTGCTGTAAGAAAATAGAACTTGATACCTTAGTGCCCATCCATGCTTATGCCAAGGAAACTAATCCACTGTTGGTGCTACCACTTGCCACCTCAAGTTAGTTCCCCTAGGTAGAAAGATAAAATGCCACCTTATATGAGATCTGCCACTGTGTCTGACATTTATTTTAGAGTTCAGATAAAGAGGTGATATTTTAAAAGCTGATGGGAATAGAGCCTTGCCACAGGGAAGTAAGGCATGACCACACTAGGACCTGCTGTCACTCAGTAAAAGAGTGAAGGCATCTCATCCTAGGCTAATACAGGCCACTGTCATGCTCTGCCACTTTACGTTTGCCATTGAGAATGTGACAAAATTAATCCCCTAGGATTTTGATAGTTTCCAACCCGGTTGATAATCATATCTGACATTGTTGAAGTCAAGACCTAAGGGTTTGTATAGCTTGATTCAACATAGAGTGATATTGGTGCTTTAGCTGCTGTGTGTATGAAGAATTTCAGCTGATGTCTCTGCTCAAATGGGAGAAACTCTCCCTTTTGTGTCACTTTTTCAGATGTGCACACCTTGTCTCTCAGGTAATCTAACAGCTGTTACATCCTGCTTATCAAAACTAGGATTGATCTCCAGTTAAATAAAGGAAGCCACTCTGTTCATACGTGGTTGTGGTTGAGCTAACATGCCTTGATTAGTTTCTGTCCTGGTGGCTGTCAGAACAACAGCTATGGGAACCATAGCTTTGTCAGTAATATGGCTGAGGCTCTGGTCTGTCCTTTTGGAAGTGGTGCATCAGTTCTTCCCCTTGCTGCATTTTTTTGGGGGGGAAGTCTTAAGTTCCATTTATCTGCACAGGGTTTGGATATTAGAACTCATGAATTTAATAGCTACTGGATCTCCTTGCTATTCTTGGTAAATTAATGCATACATCTTTTAAGAAACATACTCTGTGGCTGTGTGTCTTAAGACTTTAATTAAATGTTTGTCAGACACTTCAAATCTAAGGAAAGGCAAAATGTAAATATTTTCATTTTACAAAAAGGTAAATTCCAGGATTTTCTGGCAATTGCTGAGATGAAGTCCCCTTAAAAGGACTGGGGGGAATGACCTGTGGATATATCATTTATCTGTTATATTCATTTATTATAGTTTCTATGCCACTCAGTTGCCAATGGCTCTGAGCAGTTTACATCAACAACAGGATTAAAAACCATTATAATCTAACAAAAACCTCTCTTACCTGTGCCATCCAAGGTGGGTAGGTAAATCTCCATTGTCCCTAAATGATTTCCTGAAGAGCCATGTTTTTGCAGCTTGTTGGAAGTCCAACAGTGTGTGGGTGGTCTGAACCCAGATGACCTCTTCTAGCAGCTTCATATAGATACTAAACAGTAGGGGAGAATGGGCTGAGCCCTCTGGGATCCCACACTGGAGTAGCAGAGAGTTCAACCTGTTCCCCCATCACTAAGTAGAATCACCCACCCAGGAAAAAGGGGAACCACCACAACACAGTGTCTCCCACTCCTAATCCTCTCAGTTGGTCCAGAAGGATAGCATAGTTAATGGCAATGAAGGTTACCAAGAGATGCAGCAAAGATCCAGCCACACTCCCCATCCCAGTCCTGCTGGAGATCATCCAACAGGGTGACCACTGTGATTTCCATCCCAGGCCCAGGCATGAATCCTGATTAACAAGGGTCTAAATAATCTGTAGCTGTACACTGACCACCTTTTCAAAACCTTCCCTGTAATGTATTATGTAAAAATGGAAAGTTGGAGAGATGGAATAGTTGTCTAAACTATTGGTGATAGTTTCTTAAGAAGGGGCACACCACAGCCTCTTTCAAGGTGGGAGATAAATGCCTCTCCCTCAAGGATGTATTCACCACCATCCAAACTTGGTCTCTTATTACTCCCCTGGTGACTTTCACCAGCTAGACTAATAAGGCCATTGACATATAGCTTCTACTGTTCTTATAGACTAAAGAAGAGAGAATAAGCTTTTCAGTTGCTACTGATCATGATAGTTATATTTCAGCACCAGTTTTTAAGGCAATGGGCTTCTGCACACCAACTGCTAACAAACAAGAACAGGAGAAGGCTACTGCCCTCATGTCCTGCTTGTGAGCTGCCAGGGCAGATAGTTGGCCTCTGGGAAAATTTAATTATTAAAAAAGGGGCACGCAAATAGGAGGGTGCCCAAGCCTTTAAGCACCATCTTACCCACTGCCTCTAGCCAACTAGGGATTGTCTTTATGCTTATTTGTGTTACAAGTTTCCATTAAGGCTGAACTGCAGCACATTTCACCTAGAACATAAATTAGCACAGAGGCTAATTCCAAGGAAAGGTATGGGATAAATATTTGTAATAAATAAAGTGAAAGTATATGTATCCTAGCATTGCTGTCTCACTCAGATTGTTCTTTTAACAGAATGCAGAGACCCTGTTGATGAAGGGAAAATATTCTTGAAAAACCTTTACAGAATACCAAACTTTGCATTGAATGGGGTCTTCAGATAGCCCCTGAGTTCCAAGTATATTTGTAATATTTCAGTCTGAAAACCCTACCTTACAAGAGCATTGGATAGCTTGTTTTGTATAGCCATGCAGACTGCACTGCAGTTGAGATTTAACTGCTTTGAAGGGGATTCTAAGCTCAGAAAGATTAAGCCAAGACCCCCTTAGTGTCGAATTCACTTTATTCATTTAAGTATTTTAATGCTACCTTTTAATGAAATGGCTATACAGGGTGGCTCACACTAAAGCATCAAAACCAGCAAAAAATGAAAAATAATAGCAAAACCTGTATAAATCAAGAAAAGCAGCAGCTTAAAAATAGCAATGGTACAGTATTCCTTTCATAAAACTGGATGGCTAAAAGCTTTGGGGCTAGTGCCAAAAGCTCAAGTGAGACGCAGATGGGCCTGTCTGAAGGAAGAGTTTCAAAATCAGATAATTGCAAATGGTACACTGTGGAAGGCTACAGAAAAAGACCTCCCAATATTATTTCAGTGACTGAGTATTCTCTCATTTTTCACAGCTGTTCAAGGGGAAGTTTTTTGTCTGCCAAGGGGAAGACACAAGGAACATTACCAACAAGTCAGACTGTGCAGAAGCCAACTATAAATGGATCCGGCACAAGTATAATTTTGATAATCTTGGCCAGGTATTGATGGAATGGTAATCTGCTGCAGTGCTCCCTTATTTGCTTTGATTCAAAGCAGATGTGAAATAGCCTTGTATATATTGCAGCCACCATAGCAAATCATCTACTTCCTAGTCATACTGTCTATATTTAAAGGTCCCCACTTGAGATACATTCCTGTCACAATTAAGACCAGCACACGCTTTCTTTGGACATTTAATGACTGTACAGCAGTGTAATAAATCTCATATCTAGCATGAAAAAAGTTTGTCACAAGAGACTGAAACCATGAACCCAGCACATCCACTATCTCAGACCATTTACTATTAGCCCTGGAAATAATATTTTAGCAGGGTGGTAAGGGTTAAATAAAAATGGATGGATGAAGACTGGGGGGTAAGGCTATTTCAGCTTTTTGAAGTAACCCTCACTGTTCGATCACTATTTGACACCTTTTTTTTCTGGGTAAGAGACTTTGGGCTTACTATTATCAACTAGGTCAAATAACAGAGAAAGCCCAAATTCAAGCATGAACCAAGAGACAGGCAGAGTAAGGGTATATACTTTTTTTTTTCCTTCCTAGCTAAAATGCTTTGTTTCCTTTTGTTTTTCTAGGCTTTAATGTCTTTGTTTGTTCTGGCCTCTAAAGATGGGTGGGTGGACATCATGTATGATGGATTGGATGCTGTAGGAGTAGATCAACAGGTAGGTGTTTTGGTATTACATTGCTAGAAGCCCAAGTAGTAGATGTGTTTGTTTTGGAGATTACTTTTTAAAAACTCTATGTCAAATACTAATGTTTGGAGTACCTAAATTTATCATGGACAGACGTGTTAAATTCTAATCCTGATAGATTCTGAGTGTAATGGTTTCTCCCTTTATTTTGTAGCCAGTCATGAACTATAACCCTTGGATGCTCCTCTACTTTATCTCCTTCCTGCTGATTGTTGCCTTCTTTGTCCTCAACATGTTTGTGGGAGTTGTGGTGGAGAATTTCCATAAGTGTCGTCAGCATCAGGAGGAAGAAGAAGCCAAGAGACGAGAAGAGAAGAGGCTCCGACGCCTGGAGAAAAAGAGAAGGAGTAAGGAGAAACAGATGGCTGGTCGGTAGTCTTTCCACATCTTTCTGAGTCCTGCTTGACCTTTGACAGTCTCCCCTATCTCCCTGCCTAGCATCTGAAACCTAGATTCCCCTCAGAAGCATGTCCAGCTACAAAATTTGCATGAAGGATATAGCTCCGGTATAGGCTAAGCAAAAAGCCATAGAAACACATCAATGGCTGCATGATTTGCAATTATTCTATATGCTAGGCAGTTTAAAACACAGTAATTTAAATATAATTTTTCCATTGCATAAGGCGTAGCTTTACCCAAATAGTGTCAAATGCAAGGACAACAGTACCAGAACGGGCCAATTGTCTGAGGCATGTTTTGCACTGTTGCTAATAGTTAGTTTCACTATTTGGTTTATTACAGCCTTGTAATGTCAAAATGAAATCAATTTTTCTAATTTCTAGGCCAATTTCCATATGGACTGACAAAATTATATAGAATATTCAAGGATGTAATAATAATAAAGCCATTTTGTTTTAGAATTGCTTGAAAATATAATGCATTTACTTGAGAAATACAGATTCTTTTTCTTAAAAAAAAGAAAATATCAAAATAGAGATTAACCAAATGAAATTAACCAATCTGGAGTAAATCTACTGAATCACAAACTTGGTGAACTACTTAGAATAATGCTTAGATCCTTTGATAACCACATTAGACTTATATGAAATCTGAGAAACTTCACATGTTGTCTTTCTTACTTCAGTTTTTGTTTATTTGGAAAAGCAGGAAGTAATGGTCAGGTCAGAGGTCACAGGTCAGAGGAACTCTCCTTCATCTTGCATGCTTTCTATTGTCCCAGGATTCTTTTGCCCTGTTACCATTCCATGTGTCCATTCATGGTGTTTCTTGTTACAGTCATCTTAATATGTTCTCAGATCTTTTTCCCATTTCCCCATTTATTATATCCTTTTTAGAGCAACATCAGTACATCTGTGGGAATCTCTCTTTGGTTTTGATATGGTTGTTTAACCTGCCTAAAGGTTGTTACACTTTCTACTTTGTATTCTAACTGCTTGTTTCATACACTAACTAATAAGGCCATAAACAAATTAATCACATCTAATCCTTCTATATCATACAGTTAAGTCCTTTCTAAAACTTGAAATTTAACTCCCTTTATCCAAACATAAGGTTTCCAGATTGAACGTTCAAAACTAAGCCATGCTGGCATTCTGGTTCCTTATGCTGAGTACTGTGAAACTCCATGCCTTAAAAGAAGAGGGACCTGTTACAAACTATGATGCTGTGAGCTGCTCCAGAGACCTTTTTCACAACTGGCATGACACAAGTATGCTGACCTGTGAATCAAGAAATGTACATACATAAGGGTTATCAACTTTCTCTAACATTAAAGCCACACATTTACTTTCTCTGCTAAAATCCATGGGATTCGGGTTTAGAATGCATGTATTATGCAAAAGTGAAGGGGCTGGTTGCAGACAGTCTTAATAATGTATCATGTCAGCAAAAAAAAAAACAAAACCTCTGCAACTGTGTTTCTATTTTCACAGTATCTGCACATCTTTTGGGAAGTAAAACTTCCATTTACAGTAAAGGACATAATATGCACTAAATCTTTGGATTCTTTTGCATAAACGGAGCATAGAATTCTTCTCCATGTTTCCCAACTCGCCAGCAATCCCTTTGTTTTCCCAGATGCAGGTTTTTGCCATTTTTTTTTAATGGCACAATTTAAGAATTGTTGATCTTTCTGAAAAGTTTTGAATACTTTTGAAATATTCCACAGAATTGTCCCTGTGGCAGGTTTTGGCATAGAAAGACTGTATCTGGCATGCTGCTTTGTACCTGGTCCCCCTGGTGCATTTTTAAAAACCAACCTTTTCTCCTCCCTAATAATCTGCCTTCAGTTTCTCGGTGAATCCAGTCCAGGCACCTTATCGGCCCCACTGCACACCTTACCTGCCCTTTTTTCTGCCAGAAACTTTGCTGTCCTTTCAATCGCTTATTGTCTAACCTTTCTCTAAATCGTTTTGGCATATCTGCAGCACTAGGCCTCCATCTCCGTGCTCGTGTTCCTCAGAAGCGGAAGTATACCGAGTGGTAATGTTTCCACCCATTTGATGTTGCATCAGTGGTGCTGCCTTCTTGCTCCCCAGAAAAGCCAGAATTAGAGTTTCAGAAATTACATGGGAGTATCTAAGGGCAAAAATATAAGTGGTCCAGAAATACATTTTATAAACCACAGTAATTACCTCTAGAAATTTAGCCCACGCAGAAGACAGTTAGCGCTAAAGCAGATAAATGAATTACAGTTTTAAGAATGATCATTCCACTGTTGAAAGAATGATTTACAGTTCTTTTCTTATTATAATAAAATGATAGTATTTGGAGTCTCAAATATCAGTAATATTGAAAAGTAATTCTACTTATAGACATAATAATATAGGACATAAATTAATCTAAATACATATTATTGTAAATAAACAATTCACAAGGTAAGTTGGAAAATAAAGCTATAGTTAAGGGTAATGAATAGCACTGTGGGCTCACATATAATGTTTAGCCATAACATGGCTTGTGTCAGGTTCAGCCCAAAGAACTCCACAAAACAGTACAGATACAGTTCTGTTGCATTTATTAGCTTCAGCCTCTCAGACAGAAACTCTCCAGACTGAATCTACACTTCCCAAGCCAGCCAGCCAAAACACCATGAATTCCTTAGGGTGGTGCCAGTCTCATCCTCTTCACTTTCCCACGCTCCTGCTGCGGGCTAAGGAAATGCTTATCTCCCCGAGCGCGACCTTCACCAAACCATTCCAGCACACTTGTTGGCTTTTGCCTCAGCACAATGTGCTAATTCACTCATTATGAGTGATGTGCTATGTGCAAACTAGGTCGTTATAGCTTAAGAAATCATCGTTTTTAAAAAATCTTGCTTTAGTACTATATGTGAACAGAATCAATATTATATAGTCCAGCTTAATAATAAAGGTATTTAGCATAAACTATAATAATACTACAGACTCTATTTGTAAACCTAACAATTAGGATTCTCACTAATGAGTCTCATTAGAAAAAGCTACAACAGATGTAGTGTACATATAATTGCCTTTTCCTCCCAACACAAAGTTATTGAAAGCTCTTTTACTAAGTATGGGTTTTCATTATCAATAATTCTTTGAAAATTAATTTCACATTAAGAGGAATTGTTCATTTTAAAGAAAGCTCTTTCATAATCAAATGGTGCTTTTCAAAATAGAACAAAGTGCTAATTTGCTACATTTTAATATCATACAGAAACCAGTGGAAGAAACTACCTGGCATAACATTTTTTTCCTTCCTTAAAAGAGTCATAGACTCTCTTATGGACAGCAGGATAGACACTGTCCAAACCATGGCTGGATGAGCTACTATCTGATAGCCAAGGGCCACATCACCTTTTACAGGTGCCAAGGGTTGCAAAATTGCCAAGATCACATCACATGCATACATGGGACATGGGGACATTTCAGGTTACATTAACATATTTATTATATGGCTTACACATCTATTTTCATGTGCTTCTCGCTTTCATATGGCACAAAACCAGCTGTCCATTTTCAGCTGTCATGATCAGAGAAGGCTCTGAGGGCTGCCAAAAGGGAGCTTAAGGGCCACAGATGGTTCATCCTAGTTTAGTGCCTTCTGTGAATCTAGCCAGTAATCCTGTAGGGAACTTCCCTATAAACAATACCAAAGAAAATGTTGCTTCTGTTTATGTGCATAGTAAAGCTCTTCTCTGATTTACAGATTCCTATAAAATTCTATTGGTTTGTGAAAGATGACCTTTTTTCCCCTAAACAGTAGTTGTTTACCATTATTTCACAGTGGAGAAACTTATTCTGTCCTATGCCACGTAATATTAATTCCAAGGCTCATAATGCAGAGATCATGCAAAGATTAACTTATTCTGTTTCCAAGAGCTTGTATTACTGGAATGGAAGCACCCCATATGCATACCTAATTAAAAATATATACCATGCCCAAATGTCACTCAAAGTAGATAAATCTGTCAAGTTTGTTTATGTTCATAATCCCATTTTTCCAGCTGTAACTTCATCTGGTCTCTTTTCTGCATTAGTTTGCAATGAAAAGGTGCATTAAGAACTTGCATATGTAAAAATTTCACATGCACTTTTGTCCACATCTTTCTTAATGTACAAAATGTTTGGAAATAATTATCTTTAACATAGTGGTTTTGGGTGCGCCCCTTTTCCTAATATATGGATTTTTGCACAGATTTCTCTCTGTCTCTTTTTCTGAGTTGCAAAATGCTTCACAAAATTTGGAATAAGTATGTATACTGATGTATAATTTTCCATTAATTTGGATGTAGGTTCAGGAATTATGAATTGGGTAAAAATGTGCTTTTTGGTTTGGGGAACTGATAGGAAGAGGGGAGTACTTGCTTCAGAAAGAAAAAAAAATCTTCAAGATTAGTGGTTGCATTATTCTAAAGAATTTCTAAAGCCCTGTTTTATCCTAAATATCTAACAGTATTAATATTATTAATTCATACTCACTCACGAAAGCTATCTTGAAGATTTTAATCTGAATACCAAGGTAAACTCTGATAACGAGGCTGCAGTGGTGTGGGGGCAGGGGTGGAGAAAGAGAAGGACTCGTCCCGATCTTCTAGTACAGCCTTCCTCAGGTCGATGCCTTCCAGGAGAGTAGGCACAGATTGAAGGAGGCCGACTGAGGCACCTTATAAAGGATAGTCCATAATATGTTTGGCTTAAAAGCTCAAGTGGGTCACAGCACAGAAAGAAACTCTGGCTGTTTCCATGGGGTGGAGTTGCATTCCATGGTCTGCACATTGCTTCCCTATAAACGCCATTGGATATCTCATAGGAAAGGTCTTAGGGCCCTGGAGCTCTTGGTTTGCCTTGTCAAAGCAGTGATGAATGCTGAAAGTGGGATGAAGGATCTGCCTCCTGTCCTCTCCGGTGATTTAATGCCCTTTCGTTCTTCTAGATCTAATGCTGGATGATGTAATAATGGACAGCTCAGCCAGTGCAGTGCCAGGTACTGGGATGTCCTTGCCGTCTTTGTCTCACGTGAATTGCCATGCTGTGTGACTTAACGGCTGGCCACTGGTGCTATGAGCCATCTCGCTAGACTGTGTGTAGTGGAAGGTCTTTCTTCGCTCCCTCTGTAGTCTGCATGTTTTGTTCTGTTTTGTTTTCTTTTCTTTTAAACATCTGCAGGCTTGACCTATCACTGACACAATTAACTCAGGATATTTATACATTTACTTGGTTTTAGTGTAATTTTATTGCTCATCATAAACATTGTCTGGCTTTTTTCCTCTTTTGCTGCTTTCAGAAAGAGATTTTTGGATGATGCTGGGGTCATCTACTTTAGAGCTATTCTATATGTGTCACTCAGCCCTGCAATGTTCTGCCTCTGAATGGCTTAGCCCTTTACACAACTGTGGGTCCTGCAGGCTCTGCCTCTCCTTGATAGCTATAGTCAGCCACCGTTTATAGCTTGCAGGCCCATGCTTTTCTCCCAGGTTCTGTGCATGTTCCTCTTCCTTTGGGCTGGACTTTGGAGAGAAGCAGAGAGAGAAAGGGAGAAAGAAACACTTACTGCTTCTCACCTACCCCCCTTGCCAAAGTTTAAGGAAATTTAAAATGATTCCTTCTCCAAGTTTCCCAGAGAATTCAGAAAAGAAGAGAATCCTAATCTTGATCAAATTTTCAGTGATGCATGGAAATTTGATAAGGATTTTTTTTTTTTTTTGCATTGCCCATAAGAAAGGCAGTCAACACACTAACTGCTGGTGACTCGTTTTATGCATTTCTGAACCCAGTGTTCTTCCCACATTAGAAGAAAGCGGTTTATATTTGCTTAAATTCTTCTAGCATAGCAGCAATAGAATAAATCCAGCATGAAAGGCGTTAATGCATTCACTCTACCTCTAATTGCATCAGGCCTGATTGCCTTTTTATTTATTTTTTATTTATTTATTTATTAAATTTATCTCCACCCATCTCCCCCCATTGGGGGACTCTGGGCAGCTCACACAAACCATTAAAACAATAAATATATATAAATGCATAGCACATAAACATTTATACAAAACATTACCAAAAAGAGAAAGTCCAAGAAAATGATGGATTCTGGGGCTGAAGACAACAGGCCTCTAAGGGGCTAGCCATCCCCCCATTTGATGTCCTATATGTGTCTTTTCCTATATGTGTCTTGGGTATACCTTATATTCAGATTTATCTTAGGGTGAATTTGATTTACCTTTGACCCTCAGTCCTCTTCATTATTTCTGAGGCTGCAAGAACTATATCTATACATGGTATAGGTGTAAGGCATGGGAAGAATGACTCTGCAGAAGCTGAATGGTGTTACCCAAGCCACATGTTTCATAGTTACAACAAAAGGCTACATGTGTTATTGCCCATATTTCACAGTATGACATGGTATAGAGCAGTGTTTCTCAACCTTGGCAACTTTAAGATGGGTGGACTTCAACTCCCAGAATTTCCCCACTGGGGAAATTCTGGGAGCTGAAGTCCACCCATCTTAAAGCTGCCAAGGTTGAGAAACATTGGTATAGAGAAAGGATCCATTTGGGCTGTTTGTTGACTAATTTCTCTGTCTCAGCCCATGTACTGGAATAAAGATGAGTGGCAGGAATACAGCCTGGATGTCTAAGCAGGGATAGCAACTGAGGAGGGTGTACTCATGAGGTAAATTCCCTTCCTCTGGCAGTGGAGTGGGGGGGTGGGCAACTGGAGCCCTACCCCTGCCTTCTGGCCACAGCTGCATCCCACCAACACATTTGGAGAGGGAACTCAGACAGGGAGAGTGTAAAATGACCCATTGCATGGCGGTGGCAGGAGGGTGACAATGGAGTGGTTGCAACCCTCACACTTTAGAAGACAACTCCTGTTAAGTCCCCCTGGGCACCAATTCCTAAACTAGGTGTGTTCTTAAAGGCAGATCCCCTCTCTTAACCATGACAAACAGGTTGCTCTATAATACAAGTTTGAAATTTGGAAGAGCAAGACCGCCTCTGTCTTTTGAATGTTGTAAAACTTTAAATTTATCTCTGGGTTTGTTTGTTTGTTTTCTACTCCATATAAATTTGCTAACAATTTCTTGCCATTCTTGTAAAGTTTTTTTCTGAAATTGGAATTGGTGTCATTTGAAACATATAATTTTGAAATTATGTCTTTATTTCAATTTTTTTTTTAAAAAAAAGGCATATCCCAAGTTTTCTTAAGAGGATTCTACAAGTACAGAAACCAACACCCACATCCTCTGTCATGGAGTTGACCTTTGTGGCTCCTTCACTTACATGAAAAGATGTGGCAGAAATAGATGATAATGCAGTTGAACATCAAGGAGGACAAGTCCAGAAGTAGTCAGTTGCAGTGCTGAAGTTACTAGCTTGAGCATTCTGCTGCCTAGAGCAGAACGTAGGAAAGGGTTTTTCTCTCTCTGGTCCACTTTTGAGGCCTTGTTTTAGAATCCAGTTGACACAGTTAGTGTTAGCCCTTCAAGGTAGTTCAGGCAAGAAACACAACCATGAGTACTAACCCTATCTTTATTGTAAGATTACATTAACAGAACTTTGCAATACTGAAAGCATCCCCCCCCCCAGGCTTTCCTTTTACTCTCTGGAAAACTAGGGAGGGTCCCTTCTGAAACATTTCCCACACACCCCTCTGCTTCTGTGGACTGAGATGTCTTTTATATGCCAGTTGTTCAGTCGGCACCTCTTCCTCCTGTCTCCCAAGGTCATTCCTACATAACATTACAGCTGGTTTGCACCTAGGGGAGAATCCAAGCCACAGTATGATCAAATTACTAGAGACCTGAACAGCCAGCCCCCAGTCATGCTCACTGTTCACATTCTTTATGCTGCTATCACAGACATGATTCCAGTTAGCAGGACTGAAGAATTATATTCTGTTTGCGACTATACAATGTTGTGGCCCCTTGTTTCTTAAAGCATTAAGTTAAAGCATTAATAAATTGGTATAAAATGGAAGGATGATTTTGTTGCAGTCTGGACAATATTTGTGCCTGTTATTTTTGATGGAAGTATATTCCTCTAAGATTAGTTAAAATTACTTTCATGATATACTTCCATCAACTGAGTAAGTATATAGAAGACAATCTCATATCTAAACTGAGCCCAAGCTTACCTAGGAACTTGTACCAGGGAATGTTGTTCCTTACTAAAACAACAAAATCTATACATATATAAAAACTAGCATGTCAGGGAAAAATCAGATCTTCCTATTGTTTCCAACCCAAGGGGAAAATGCTATTGTTTTCTGATGCATGTCTCATCAATTAACACAAGTCTCAATACAGGTAGTCCTCGCTTAATGACTGCCCTATTTAGCAACTGTTCAAAGTTACAACGGTGCTGAAAAACTAACTTTATGACCAGTCCTCACACTTATGACTGCCACAGTGTCCCCATGGTGATGTGATCAAGATTTGGGTGCTTCACAACTGAGGTGTTTGCAACTGTTGCAGCATCTCAGTCATGTGATCAACATTTGTGTGCTTCACAGACAGCTTCTGACAAGCAGAACCAATGGAGAAGCTGGCAATAAAATCACAAGTTGCAGTCACATGATGTCTTGCTTAATGTCCATGGATGACTAGTTTAACGACTGTGGCGGAAGTGAGATCGTAAATCAATTGCAGTCACTTACCAATGGAGTTGCCAATCCCAGTTGTCATTAACAAGGACCATCTGTAAAAGCGCATGTGATTTCTGCAAGTTCTATCATTCTGATCCAGCATAACCAATGATTTTACACTAAAGCAAACATTATTATTATCATTATTATTATTACTGTTATTTTGATGTATTACAGCCTCCAGCTCCAAAAGACTCTGGGTGGCTTACAACGTCTAATATGCAATTTGAAACAATTAGAAACACAACAACAAAAACAAATAACAGCCCAGACAAAATAGCCATAACAGTCAAAAAATATGAGAGGGGCTCCACTAATACACTAACCCTAGGCCTGGGAACAGAACCGGTCATAGCATCAGGCCTTGTCCAATTAACCATACTGCCTTTAAGTTTGAAAGACAATTAAAAACACACAGACAAACACAATTTCTCTGTGGTTCAGCTTAAGGCTTTACCTTTATTCAATATCCAATAAATGGTTTTCTTGGTGGCTTCCAGGAGATCATTGCAGTCAGATACTGTCATCTGAAACCAGACTGAATAAATTTTGTCCGATAGCCTTCAGAAGCTTTTCTACCTCAGTGACCATGCAGGAAGGCCTTCCTGAACATAGCTGAACATCTGGTCAGCTGTGTATGGGAAGAAGACACTCTCCAGAAAGCCAAGACCTATGACACGAATTTGACAAATGAGCTGAACAGCCCAGAGCCAGTTAGCAGAGAACCTTTTTCAAGTTAGTCAATTATCTGAAGGTGCTGGGGGCTAAATGGATGCAGTGCCTCTTTAAGGGTGGTGTCCTTTATCCCAGTACCCGAGGTGCCAAGTTCATCTGAGATGCAGCTCTAAAGAAAATACCTAGTGTTTTTTAAAATGTAATGAAAAAGAATAAGCCAGAAGATATTTATCCACATATTATGACATAATTAAAATTGACCCAGCTTGTTTTACTGAATCCTAAATCTCCTCGATGTTACCATTTTTTACATTTCATTTCAGTGTATTTGTGTATCCATATTCTCTATATGGGTTGGGAGGCTAATCTCGAGTCTCCTTGTGGACATATACTGGGAGAACATCTAGATGTGCAATTTCAGTGTGGTTAAGCAATCATTGTTATGTTGAGGTATATATTTGAGTGTTTCATTGTGTTTTGAATGTGTTGGGTTTATTCAAAAAGGGCCATTCTCCACAGCAGGCTCAGAAATAATCTCATAGTTCTCAGCTTTTGTATGTGTTATTTTCAAAGCTGTACTTTGTGCTTTCTTTGTTGCTGCCTGAGACTGATATTAGTGTTATCAAATGTAACCTGCAGTGCTTGTTAGTGTGAAAGGATGGAGCATCT